GTTCGCTTCCCCTGCCCTCGCACACACCGCATGCTACCTCCCCCTCCTCGCAAACCAACCTCGCCTTGTACCCGTTCATCACCCGATATATCACTACCCGCCCACACTTCCTCCCCAAACCCCTCCATCGCCGACTCCATCCACCCAACCCTATCTTCCCCATCCTTATTCGCCCTGCCCCTTCCCGCCCTATGCTTGGCCCCGTCTTTCCTGCCGCCCCCGCCCTCCCACCAAACGATCACTGCCTCGCCTGCCTGCCGTCGCGCCCGGCTCGCCCGCTCTCTTGTGCGTAATCCCGCAACCGCCCTACCACCCCGACGTGCACCACCGTCCGAATTCGCGGCGCGTCCACCCCCAACGCCAACGCGTCCGTCGCCGTGAACACCTGCCCCTAACCCTCGCGCAACTGTCGGACCACGGCACGCTTGGCCTCGTCCGATCCCACGCCGCGGTGGTAACACGATCCGCCTAACCGCTTCGCGTACTGCTCCGGCTGCCGGACCGTGCCGCAATATATCACGATCTGCCTGCCCCTGGCCTCCTCCTTGTTGTACTGACCTGCCTCTCCTCGACCAACGCCGCCACCACATCCTCCTCCTCTTCCGCTCGCCCGTCGTACCACTGAACCTCGTACCGTACGTTGGTTGGCCCGCGCCGTCCTGCCCCGGAACCACGTGGTTGCGCCCGCGCCTGCGCCAACCCCGGTGTCCGCCCTCGGCAACCCACCAACCGCCCGAACTCGGCCTCGTCCGCCGGCGGCAATGTCGCCGTCAAATACTCTAACTGTGTCTCCGCCTTGACCAACCCGCCTAACCCCGATATCCGCGACCGACACCCGCCCCCGGCCCCCAAATCCAACACCACGTGGCACTGGTCGACGACGGCGCGGTCCAACTGGCCTATCGCCCGCTGCCGGTTGATGAAATCCCTGAAACTATCCGGCACCGCTGCCTCCGGCGTCACTAATATAATCGACGCCCACTTGTGTGGCCGCAACCCGCTCCACTCCACGCACTCGATGCCCATGGCGTCGCACCGCTCCTTGGTGTCGCTGCGCAACGATGCTAATGGCACTACTATGATCGTCAACCCGCCCCCCGCCGCCGCCGCGCACGCTGTTGGCAACATGAACAACATGCTCTTGCCCCCGCCAGTAAATGCCCTTGCTGATCCGCGCCTTGTGCCTGATCTGCGCGTGTGACGCTTCCCCGACTGGCCGCCTGATCACGTCCTGGCCCTCTTCGTCCTCGCCTTCGACCGTGTCCGTGTTGTTCATCATCTCGATGACCTCCTTGACGCTGTGCCGCTACAACATGATGCCTAACTTGTCGTCCATGTATTGTGCCGACACCCTGGCAATCTGCTGGCTGACGCGGCTGTTATCCCACGCGTTTGGCCGCTACTACGGCTCCTCATCGACCTCCTCCTCCCTGGCCCCCCCTTACTTCTGACCCTTCCTCGATGACCTCTCCCCCCTTGTCGCTTACCGCGTATGGCTCGACTGGCGACTGCGCTGCTGATAACGCCCGCTCCTTGCTGGTGGTTCTTTGCGCTGCTGCCCGCCGAACCTGACCCTGGGAACGGCCACACCTGTTGCGCCTGCGGCTTTATATGTACGGCTGTCTTGATCTGCCGCGTCCTGGCTCGCCCCCTGCACCGCCAACCGCCAAAACCGGATCGCCAACCATACGTAATACATCGCCCACTTGCCCACCTCTCGCGGCAAATACCGGTGGATCACCTTGGCCTTGGCGCCCATCTCCATCGTCTTGCTGTACATCGTGACGAACACTATGGCGCTATTATCGACGAACAACCCCTCATGTCCCTGTCCGCGCCGTTCTTGTTATCGTTCCTTTAATTTTCTTTTTTATTTTTCTCCCTCTTCTCTCTTTCTTTTCCATCGCCCCTCCCCTTTTCCGCTTATCACTTTCCTTTTCCTACCCCTTGCCCCTTTTTCTTGAACTCAACCCCCCCCCCCCCTTCACCCTCACCCTTTTCTTACCCCCTCCGACCCTATCCCTTACCTTCCCCCATTCATTCGTTCTCCACCTCATCCTACCCCTTTCCTCCACCCCCCTCTTTCTCTCTCCCTTCCAACCTTTTTTTCTTTTCTCTCTTTTCTCTCTTTTCTCTCCGTTT